ATCAAAAGCAGAAAATCTATCCTGAGTACTAGATAGGCAACCCATGCTACTGCATATCACCATGCAGGAGAGCTCTGGCTGGATCTGCTTAGGGCAAAGGAGAATAAAGTTTATTAATACTGTTATCTGATTAGAGCACAGTCTATTTGAGGAAAGCGACAGTGCAACTTACTGGGCCATGCTGATGTCTTTGCAGAGATCATAAACCAATCTCCAATCTACAGACAGATTTTGCCTGACAAATAGTGAGCTCCTACTGGGGCAATAGAAAGCATCAATTGCTCCAGTAAAGACCAGAAACTCAACCTAGGATCCTCAATGCAGAGAACAGTTTTGCCAAAATCTAACAAAATGCTGTCCTTCTAACTCCTGATTTATGCCTCTTCATCAGACAAGTGCCAAATTCCCTATTTTACTTCAGAAACATCAAGACTGTGTTTCAAGAAACCCAGAACTGGACTCTCATTTTCAGTTTGAATGAACTTTGTGTGTCAAAATAGTGCTGCATGGTGCAAACACTGTAGCAAAGCACTACTTAGTTGGGTAATTTAATTGTTTGCAGGTATTTTAAGATGCTTTCAAAAAGATTAAGCTTCTGGAATGACTTTTAAATTACAGTTCCATCTAAGCATTTTTAAAGGGATGCATCCACACAAAATTCCTACTCTCCACCGGATCTCAGGAAATTAAGAGTATTTTGGCTATATAACAAAGGTAGAAGAGTGCGTTATGCTCAGCCTTTGTTTGTGTATCTCCTAATATTAAAACTCCCGTGAAGACCTTCTTCATCTCTTTTAAGTACCTAAGACAAGAGATCAGGTATTCAACTATAAGGTGATAATGCTACTTTCCCCATGATTTCTTTCCTCTGTGATCAGAGAAGTCTAAACAATCTTCCAGATCCCATTATCTTTCTGCCTCCAAAAGCTCAATCCTTTAAATACCTGCTTCTAAAGCCTTTAATATAAACTGTGAAAGAAATGCTTTTGCAAATCCCAGTTCTCCAGGTTCGTAAAAGTCTGAAATATAACTTGCTGACAGAAGTATCAGATCTTTGTGGTTTGGAGGTATTTCTAGTTCGCTCCTCCACAAAAGAACAGGAGTTGACACTGTAGATACATCACTAGATGGTATGAGGTAGGTATTGCTTGCAGGTGCAAATTTTGTAACTGCCTCTTCAGAGGTCATACAACACAAGCCCAGTGTGGCTAAAGGAAATAATAGGACACAGTAACGATGAGACACACTATAGGTTTAAAGAAAGTAGTACATTCTTAAAGGACAAAAGTCACCCAACTGGTGAGTCAGCAATAGCATTTCAGAACTTATAACCTGGCCCTATTAGAAGTTTCTAGTCCAGAAAGTTGCAAGATCCTGAATTTATGAAAAAGTTATTCTGATTTGATGTCTATTTCCTTCCTCTTCTCTCTAATCACTGTGCTTCCAAAAGAATTTCTGCATCTGAAGTCATAACAGACAGCTATATATTAATAATCTGCACTGGCATTTTTTCACATTTTTTTCTGTCACTTATGTTTCAAAAGGTGTTTTTCCAGGTTTCCACCTTCTTTATTCCTTCCACCTCTCTGACCTAAAACATGTTGAGATAAAGAAACCCTGTGAGAAAGATGAAAGAGTCTATGAATTCTAATAGACCATCTGGTGTACATGAGAAGCTCACAGCCTCCTAAGTAAATTCAAAACAAATTTTAGGTGCAACTAATAACAAATGAGGAAAGCTTTGTTACAAGTTCCTATATACCTTTCAGTCACACTGCATTAGAGTAAATCCTGTACTTCTAACCCTAACAAGTCCTCTCTTTAGGGTGTCTGCCTCAGAGATATTAGCAAGCTCTTAGGGTTTTGGCATTAAAGCACTGAGGAAGCACAAAAAATCCCCAGTAAGCTCTGCCCATGGACAAAGTCTCCTTTATAATGAATCCTTTGCACCTGCTCCTGGAAAAGCTGATGTCCTTACTGTTCCATTTTTGTTGGTGAAAAGACAGCATGCACTGATTGAAGGAGTATGCTAGGACAGCTCTTGCTGCTGTGCTCTTATTTCTGTCAGTGCAGGTAGGCACACTGGCCAACTTCAACAAATCCTACTCTGTATGACAAATCCTTTCTTACCAGTGTCAATGCATTCATAGTTGTTCCTGGCCAACTCCCCACTATTTGTAGACCACAGGGAAAGAACAGTAAAGCACACAGTTTTAGTGCGAATCACAGTTTAGGTGAGGTTGGCAGGGACCTCTGGGTCCACGTGGTCCTACCCCTATGAAGCAGTGACACCCAGAGCAGGGTGTACAGCACCACACTGAAGCAGCTTCAGAAGACTTCCAAGGAGGAGATTCAACCATCTCTTCAGATAACCTCTTCCAGTGCTCCATCATTTGTATAGTAAAGAAGTGCTTCCTGATGTTCAGATGGAACCTCCTGTGTTTGAGTTTGTATCCACTGCCCCCTGTCCTGGCACTAAGCACCACTGAGAAGAGCCTGGCTCCATCCTGTTGGCACTCTCTCTTCAGGTCTTTACAGAGATTGGTAAGATCCCCCCTCCCAAGTCTGTCTTCAGGCAGTCTCAACTCTATCAGCCTCTCCTAATAAAAGAGATGCCCCCTCCTACAGTAAGAGGATTCTCACATTAGCGTAGCTAGAAATGAATATTAAATCCACAACACTAGACTAAATGAAGCAGCACAGCTTTTATACTATCTTTTACAATGCACAACTCTTCCTCAAGGCCTCACAGATGCTTCCCCTTTTAACATGGTATTCTTTTGATTTCATAGCTCTTCATTATCTTACACACACCCTTCCCAAAGCTTTCACGAGTGTCAGACACCTCCTGATTAAAAGCAGATCCCAGAACTAACAACAGTATTTCATGAGTTCAGCATGATATACAGCATCTCTTTGGTACCAGGTGGGGACAAGGATCTATCAAGATCTTAAGTGGAATTCAGTTAGAAGAGCAGTGGTTTATGGATGTAGAACACTGCTTAATCCTGCAGTTAGAAATGTATCTATCTCCATTGGCTGAGATTCAAAGTCAGACTTTAAAAGAATGTGTGTGCACTAGGCTGCGCACCTGATAGAACAGAGATGGAAAACAAACTATGAGAAAGCAAACAGGCTCCTAAAAGGAACAATTCTATAATTATAAGTAACCTGAACTTTGTCTTTCTAATGAAAGAAATCACAATCATTTCAACTGGAGTGCTTGTAGAAAATTAGGAAGATTACACTTATCAGAACATGCTACACTAAACAGAACATATTCCTGACCCCAGCTGCCTCACTTCTTTTGTTCCACAATACAGTACCTTGAACAGAATCCACTGCAATAGGTACTATAAAGACAGAGGTTTATGAGGAGAAAAAGGCACTAAATTCAACACAGATCAACTACACTTCAGTAAACGTTCTTAGGACTCAACATGTTGATGTTGCTTTAAAAAAAAAATCTTGAATGGTCACAAAAACTGTGTTTCTTCAAGGTCAGGGATTTTACACTTGTTTAGAAACATACTGTTAAAGTAATAAAACCAAAGTAATTTCTAGTAAGGAGTTTAAAGCTTCTTTACTAGCATAGCTCAGTTCTGCTACTTCAATGCTATGTAAAATGGGATTACATTCTTTACGTAATATCAGACACATCCATGCACTCCTCAGAAAAACAATGACAAGCTCATGCATGACTTAACAGGAACCTACACATAGGTCACTAGAAAAAGGAGTTAAAATTACTCCTGGAATAAATATATAGGACAAATGAAACAGTCATACTGCTTAGTAACTAGGTCTCAAGCAAAAGTGTTACAATGCCTCCCCTTTAAGACAAAGATATTTAACCCAAACAACAAGATCTGTTTGAGTTACTCTAATACAGTAGAATTAATTTCTTCACAGCAATCAGGAAAGAGAACTGCTACCTGTGTCTGCAATGCATGTAAAGCCAGTACTCAAGGATCTACAGGATTTATCTGTCAGAAGAGCTTCATCACAAAAAAACAAGCAAACAAAAAGCCACCCACATTCTGGACATGTCAAAGATTTCACATCCATCTCTTTCTGAACAAATTTCTTTAAACATCAAGAATTGACAGAAATAGATATTCCAAAATTTACTGATTTCAAAACACATAATTCCTTGGTTCTCCATCTCCACTTCCCAAGGACACCTTCAAGTATTAAAATTGCACGCATTTCATTTCTAAGCTGATTAATGTCAGCACTTCTCTTTGCTGCCCCAAGGAAACTAAATTGTTCTGCTTGTTTCACACTTTTCCATTCTTCATGTTGCATTAGACCTTGGGAAAGTACGGAGCCTGCATTTCCAGCAGTTCAGGTGTCAGGTGAGTTTGTTACCCTGCAGTAAATTGCACCTTTTTAAGTTTATTCATAAACACTATGCACAAGAGAGACCTTTGTCATTACCTACTCTGACTTCCTGGGTAACACAAGTGAATCTTGGTAATAGGATCAATGTGGAAAGTATTTTGTGGACAATCATGTTGATAGGACCCTACCCAAGGGTAAAACTAAGTACAGACACGTGCATAGCATAAGAATCTGAAAAATTATTTAAAAAGCACATATAAGCACTCCAACACCAAGCCCTTTTCAGTCACCATACATAACCACTACTTTGGAAATGCCTAGAGTAGCATAGGAAGGCTAAGAAAGCTTTTACATGTAACATTACTGTTACTTTTTCATATGGCTACTTTCTCAGTAAAGTATAAATCTAAAGTGTTTCTCCATAGGCAATACATCTTTGCCCTACTTCCTCCTCTTCTCTGTGAGGTTCAGACAGCCCAGCACAAGCTGGTTCACACTGACAGCACACTGGCTATCCCTGTAGCATTTCAGACAAAAACAGAGTGGGTTGCATGTGAATCATCACAGCTGTTTGACATCAGGCCAGCTGCCATTTCCAATTGACATTAGGGCAACATTCACAAACAGCTTCATAAACAAATCAGATAGCAGCTTACCAATTAGATTTCTATTCGGACACTGGAGAAGCATGTTATCAGCCTCGCTGTTCCTTCCCCATTGTGCTATCGCATGGGCTGTGTGAAAAGGAAACATGTTTTATTTTTCTTACCAGAACTATTTGCAGATGGCATTTTTAAGTCAGAATATTACACTGAGCAGTTCAGCCACCAGCACTAACAGCTACCTCAGCAGCAGCAGAAGTGCTGCCTAACAGGTTTGTTATTACATAGTGTGTTCTCAGGTTATGGTTTCATTTCTATTCTTTAGATAAGGAATGTTCTGTAGGTGTCAGAATTCCCTTCTGGAGCACTCTGCGGAACAAACATTCTGGTTTATTTCACCTAGGTGATGTCCAGCCCTGGTTTAGAGACAACCAGCCCTGCTTCTTGCCCTATTTTCAATGAGCATAATGTGACTGAAGCACTGCTCAGAAGAGAGGAAAGAGGATATGGAATAGAGTATGTATATTCTGCGTAGCCTGCACCTGCTGCATACCACAGAAACTCAGATCCACAGCAGCCCAAATCAGGTAGGAAATAGGAGTAAAGTTACAAGTCATTAAACGCTGCATATGTTCCAGTTATTCTGTGATAACAACAGTATGATTGGAGCAGAAATTAAGTTCCCCATCGACAAAATTTTACATTTACAAACTTAAGTGTCTGTCTTTTATTCCTGCTATTCCAAACACAAAAGCAGCATGAACTGCACAACAGACACGTGTATCTGCTGCCAACTTCAGGATCCATAATCATTTAAAAAAATTTTAACTCCCAAGAATCATCATCCACCCCCTCAAAATTCAACTATTTACTTGTACTATCTGAGTTTAAAGAAAGGAAGAAAGAAACAAAGAAACAGGAACCACTCAGCAGAGATGGCGACCCTTAAAAAGTTCAAGTGTAGAAAATCAAAAAGAAAGCAGTCCCAAGGACAACCTATGGAAAAGAGCAAGCAAACATGACTCTCTAGCTCAGATGACTAACAGAAGCCCACAAATTAATCTGAAATACACTTTATCAGTAAAGTTACCTGACTGTTTCAGGCAGCTAGGGAAAAGAATTAACCCATTAAATAGCAAAAGGCAAGTGAGATGAACTTCAAATGAAGGACCCAATACCACATGACTTAGCGTTCAACTCACCTCAACAAGACTATTCAATTGGCAAAACATTTGTGGGTTGGGTTAATATTATTATAATATTATATTAATATTAATATTATTATAATATTAATATAATCTAAGCAGGTTAATATTTTCCTTCTTTGTAGTAATGCTGACCTTTAACACTCATCTTTACTATCTCTAACATTTGTTGTGTTCTATGAACTACATTGCTTATTTGCTTTACTTCATGTTAGTCTGCTGGATATCTTCATCCGAGGCATCCTAAGTATAGCATGAAACACAAAACTCACTCGTCCTTATTACAAAAAGGGAACACAGCTGCTTGTGGTGCAGAACACAGCTGAACATCAAGCAGTACCATCAGAGCACACAAGAGGCAAGACAGCATTGAAGACTTCATTTCCAATTACCAAGAAATACAGGGAAGGGACCATAAAATAGATTGCACTGACAGACTGATATCACATCTTTATGAAACAAAGCTACTCCTGCACTGAAATGCTAAATATATTTATCTCTATACCAACCACATGCTCCTCAGGGCTTAATATATCATCCTTAAGGCAAAATATTCAGATCTTACTCTGGAATTTCACAGGAAGAAGAGCTCAAAATCTTACCTAATTTGCACTAAAAAGCCAACCTGATGGGATTAAAATATGCCTTGCAGGTTCCAGTGACAACATCTTACAGAACCACATCTCTGCATCCAAAGGGCAGCCCTCACAAAATGCTATGCAAACATATCTGACTTTCAGAAATACAATGGGTTAAGGAAAGCTGCTCTACAACAGTTAGAAATTATATCTTAACGATCTCTGCTAGCAGAAAAAGCCATTCGTGAAGCTCCTTTCCTAGAAGGTCACATACTGTTGCAACTGAAGTTGTAAAAAACAGCATTTTTGTTGAAAGCCAGTGCTTGCATTCAAGATATCTAGGTGCTAGTGATTAGAGATCAGATGTAGAGTTTCTCCTGGAGATGCAGATTCCAGGACAGAAGAACTCATATGCTGTCACAGTCCATTTCCAGGATCACTTTAAACTACCCAAGAGCACTGATGGATGTAGGCAATAGATTAGCACACCTAATGAAAGAAAGGCATGAAGCAGAATCTTTGCATGCCAAATGCAAACATAAGCCTTGGGCACTGCATATGGTAAGGGGGAAAAGTAAAAACAATTTACTGGCTGCAGGTGCCTTTTGATACCCTTCAGAATGTTTTCAATTGACAATGCAAGGTAAGCCAAAAAATTCATAACTATCAAAGAGCATCACAGTCCTTGGGGGGGAAGAGGAGCCTAGTAATGCATCTATATGGAAGCCTGGTTGCTGTATTAAGACCTTAAACAGGAATGAGCCACTGCCTTAAGTAGGCAATAGAGTATTGATCTCTGTACACCACTGGACCTAACATAACATTACTGAAATCAGTAAAGATTATACAAATTCAGATGACAAGGTTTCAGTCTTTTTTTTCAGGTTGTCTTTCAAGAAAGATTAATCAATGACATGGTACAGTCAAGTATTCATGGATCAGGAGATTAGTAAGAAGAGATGCCCTGCCTGCAGATTTGAATTGTTAATGTCTAATGTCTTTATGAGTGAAGCCAGGGCCTCCATTAACTTCCACAAATAACAGTTGCTTAACTCAAATCAATTTATACAACAAACCCAGAAACACTGGCAGCCCCTTGGTGCTTCTGCTGATCCTAAATTAAGTTGTCAGGGTCTGGCCAGGCCATGAAAACTATTTTTTGTTTTCAGGCACATAAAATCATTTTAGCTGAGGAGAAAGAGCTGCCCTGAGGAAGACCTTTAGTGTTTTTCAGGCAAATCCCTAAGAAGCAATGCCGTGAGACTTTCGATCAAATTCTTACTTGAATACCCAGGCAGAGGAAGCAAATTCCTATTCATTAAAACTAGAAAGAAAAAAAAAAAAAAAAAAAAGATTAATGTTCCAAAAAAATAAGTTTGTCAGGTTCAGGATGGGGAAAAACTGATAGATACAACAAAATAGCTAGTAAGCCCCAGGTGAGGATGGTTTACCTTCAAGAGTGGAGGCCTAGATCCAAGTGGCTTTTCCATACAGCCATTATTGCACATACCCATACAGCACATGCTTTGCTCTTCCATAAGAAGGAAATCCATCCTAACAGGAAGCAAGCAAAGAATTTGAAATTGAATGCTTTCAAACACTTGATTTTGGCACCTGTGGCTGCAGCTTAGAATCTGCAGTAGCATCTTATAGATCCAAGAAGACTAAGTTGCTCATGGCAGGGCAAACATTTGGAAACGTATGCAATGCTATATTCTGCCTACAGAGCACAGAAATAGCTTCAGGGGATAGACAACATCACTTTCAGAAACTCTCACTTGAGTTGCTTTTGAGGAGACATGAAGAAACAAGGAGAGGCTAATTTCCTCTTACAGAATGAACTCAAATTCAAGTGATGCAGGATATACCAAAACCACTGCAAGTTTCCGAGCACAAGGTAGAAAGAACCAGCACCATCTAGTGCTCAAGAGCTGATGGAGCAAGCAGAGCACACGCTGAAGAATCAAGATTTTGCATTTTTTGTTATGAAAATACAGCATACGTATATTCAAAGGGTCTTTGGCTGCACTCATCTTGCATGTAAGGAGTCCCTGCAGCAGACAAAAGGCCAGCAGATGTATCTGGTATTACAAGTGTACTTGGTATTACCTTGGAGGTCTTAAACCCAAACTGTAAAGTAGTAAAAAGTTTCCAGACTGTCAGGAAAGAAGACGTGCAATTTCACTGTGCTAGGCACTCCATTATAAAGACAGTTCAGAGAAAATATTTTAGCTTTATCCCTCCTTAATAAATGGGAAGTCTAGCTTATATTCCCTAAGATAGTTACCACTTTCAGTGACATAAATATTCTGCCTTCAGTTGCACTCCAGGCTTCCAGAAGAATTAAAGATCAGTAAAGATCAGAATTAAAAGAATTAAAGATCAGCTGCCAGTAACAATGGCAGCTCTGCTGCAGAACTGTCTTCTCCTACAGGTCAGTGCAATGTCATGGATACTTATTGATGTCCATAAGCTTGCTAAGCATTTCCACAAGTGCTCTGCTGAAATAATATCACTTCACTCTTTTCAGTAGGACCTAGAACTACTATTTTTGCTATGCTAAGTGCTGAATACCAGAAACCTAAATAAAGCCCTCTAAAACCAACATCACATATCCAGAGATGCAGTCAGTAGTCCACTGTAGGTTTCAGGAGAAAATATTAATTACCAGCAGCAAACTCAGCTTCCTGCTGATAGTTAGAACTGGAGCATGCATTGATTGATAGAAAATACAGAATGATTCTAAGTGTCTGAATTTCTAATTACTCCTCTAGGCATTTTAATTACACATCTCAACAGGAACTGAGAAAAAAAGGTCACAAAACTAACTTAATTGCTGTTGATCACCTGAGACACAGAATTGTACTGCAGAGCAGTGCTTTACAGGCACCATTCACCCTACTGAGACAAGACAAAAGAGCTGCCACTACAACCACTCCATAACACTGCCAGCAGCTCAACTGCACTCCCTACAGAACATATGGTCAACAATTAAAGTTCCTGTAAGAGTTAGTATTCCCATCTTCCAATTTTGCCTTTATTAATATCTTATTTAATAGTTTAAAAAGGCAGTGAAACAGCTCCTACAAAGAAGTTCCTGGATGAGGCATTTTAAGCCTGCCTACTGGCAGAATACAACAAAGTCCATATTTAAAAGAGTCACTGCTGAATTCAGGTCCCTTTTGAAAAAGGCAGTTTGTTGATATTGAGCTCAGACTTTATAATTAATTGAACAGCATGCCAGAGTACAAAGCTTTGAAAATAACCTTCTAAATGTGAATCAAACATAAGCACCTTTGCTCTGGCTAAGCCTACACGAAGCCCAAGACAAGATTCGGAGACTGAATCATCTGAATGAGAGGGCTGGTAGCATTACTCAAGAGGAGTATAAAGCATATTCCATCAGTCTTTGTTTGATCAACCTCAAGTCCAACTGGTTTCAAAGACTTTCTTTTCCCCCAGTCACAACAGTGGAAGTGAGAAATCAGAGTATATTGGGGAAAAAGCCAAGAGGAAAAGGGACAAGCAAGATCAATCCCTTTAGCAGTGGTTTCCAATGAAATCAAGTTATAATTACCACAATAATGCACTTATTTTTCACGTAAAGCTCTAGCTAAGAGCTGTCACTGTTAGCCTCAGCAAACAGCACTATGGCAAGCTGTTATTAAGAATCAGGAGAGAGTTTATCTGAAAAGCTGCTTTCAATCACAACATGCCAGTTTGTGAAAAGGGCAAACATTCTTCCAAAAATGATGTTAATAAAGTTATTCTAAATTTCAGAGTTAAAAGTGAAGCAAAACCATCTGTCCCACTAAGACCAGTAGTGATGGAAGGTACTCACAGATGACAGATTCAGGGTCCAGGCCTCACTTGGTGGAAGAGAAACTTGGGTTTCCTGCACAGGTGACAATGTTAGTCATTAAGGTATCAGCTTAACTAAGGAAAAATTTTAATGTTTATGCCCCCTCTCATTCTTCATGAGGAGTCTGACTGAATCCATCCTAAAGAGGGAAAAAACCCTTCAACTCATCAAGTTTTCTACAAAGAAAAGCTATTCTTTAGTTAGTTGCTAATAATCCATGCCCTAAAAACAACAATTTTGTCCTACCTTCTGAACTTTTTCACCACTCCCTTGACTATAGAAAACCTTCCCATCTCAGAGAATGATCTCTGATTCTGCACAACTTGTGCATCTCCTCTCTTAATGCTGCAAAGAGCAAATTACTGAAATGAGACAAGCTGTTTGCCACATGGCATTAAAAACATCAACTTTCTAGAAAGTAAAAACCCAGAAGCATTTAAGTCATCAGCACTCCCCTAGGACATTCTCAGATAGTAGCTGCTATGTGTGAAGATCAGCCCCAAATAACTAAACTTTGCACTTGGCCTCAGACCATATAATTTTTTAGAAACACCCCACCACCACATGCTAATGCACCCTGGAACATAAGAGCAATTGCTGAAGTGTCCATGCTTTACTCTGCCATTCCATTTTGAGCTTTATTAGCTGTGGGAGAAGAAAGCATGAACAGGCTAAAAAGGGTCCAGAAATGCACACAGTTTCTCCAGAAGAGAGGATAGAGAGTATTTCTGCCAAAGGAGGCAGTTTAGAAAGTGCTGCCACTTGATACAACACTGGTTTCACTGTAGAACTATTCTACTGTCTCTCACGTCCCGAGTTAACCCTTCTCACAGCTGCACTATACAGCTTATAAATGAACTTGATGAAACATGAATAATACACAATGCCCATCATTAGTTCTTGTTACTCAGCAGAAAATCAATTCAGGCTCTGTTACAGTGCAGGACATGCTGTTAATCTAGTATCTGCACTCTGAGGAAGTAGCACTCGCTGGCAAGAAGATAACACAAAAACATGCAGTAAGCTCCAGGCAACTGCTCTAGTAATAAGAATGCTGAAATGCTAGCTATCAAACACGAAGTAGGTTTTTGGAGGTAGCTGGTGCTACAATCCAAAGTTTGGGACATTTCCTTGTCAGGAACTACAAGATAGATCTCAATCTCTCTCTTTACCAGTTAAGGTGGTATCAGGACACTACAGAAACATTCAGAATACAGGACTGCTCTGAATTTTGTTAAAGCCCTGCATTTCACATGTACTGTAAATTCTCATATCTGTATTTACAGAATATGCTTCTGTTAACAAATCCTCAGCTTAGTTAAAAACACTGAGAGATCTTATCACCTTTTAGAGATTATGTAGTGCCAAGCTTACACTGGGAGGACAGGAACACAATTAAGAAGCAATACGATCATAGTGTCAACACAAGGAAAGATGGGAACTGATGGAAAATAACGTTTTGGGTCCTGCAAGATGATCTGTGCTCCCTTTTCTATCTGGTACCAATTTAAGAACTGTTCACTATGTGGATGTTCTGTGGTCTGGCAAGAAATCATTTCAGAAGACAGGCAAGAAAGAAAATGCATTTATGCCAAAATCAGCCCAGAATAAACGTACTGTGAACAGAATAGGAAACTCTTCAAGCTACATTTTTTCAGTGACATCTGTGCTGAATCACATTCTGCATTGACTGGCTATTTATAGCATTCTTCAATACTTGTTATCTGTGTTGCAAACAAGCTCCCTACAGACATGAATAGATTCATCTCCACTTGGTAGAGAAAACATCTGAATTTTACTGGCAGGACAGCGGTTCACTAAGAGTAAGTAGTTGTTCCTAGAAGCCCAGGGAAGAGCAATGACAAAACTGAACACAAAAGACTGAACACAGATGTCCTGGGTCTCAAAACTATGCTGCCACGTGTTGCTTTTTTCTATCTCTTTGGAGAGCCTTTCTCAAGTAGCCACACAGTACTGTTACTGCCAACACCATTGAAGCAACCACCATTTGTGGCTCATGAGATCTATTTTGCAGCCCACAGAAGTAAAACCTAAAAGGCTAGCAAGAAGTGAAGAATCCCATTTACCCAGTGGCTCTGTTAATTGCCTTTAGTGCCAGAACACATGGACATATTCACAACCAGGAAAATCCAAGTGCTTTCACAGCCCAGTTCACTTTACGGCAAGAATACTACAGTGCACAATCTTTGAGAAATTGTACATAAGATCTGTCACGTTCAAACAATCAATGCCACTCTCAAGGAGATGCCCACATGTAAACAACACTGTGAGCACATTGCCCTACTGATTTGTTTGTAGAGTCCAGCCTATGAAGCTGTGGAACAATATAAAGATAAGGGAGCATTACCAGAGAACATGCAGTGACAAGGAAGAGGAGGAAAAAAAAAAAAAATAAAGTACCTTCTCTCAAAGTAGCTTCTTGTATGTCAAACAGAATGCTCTAACAGTGAGTTATTGTAAACTCTGCCTGTTTGTACAATTGAGAGCATTCCAGTACTATCTAATTGTTCTTGAACTGATTGATACCATGTTGAGTGTACAACACAGACATTTTATGCCCAGCCTGATTACGTGGCAAGAAAACCGCTGCTAGCACACAGCCAAATGCACACCCGCCTCCAAAGCGGTAGTATTTACCCATATGGACAAGCATACCCTGTGTTGTGCATTTATAATGGTTTTGTGATTTTTAGTTTTTGGTATTCCACATCATAACATCATGTGGAGCACTGGGAGTTTAACTATTAATGCTCAAGTTCTGGGTACCTGCCCAGAAGAGAAGAACTACATTCCCCAGGGGACCTTGCGGTCACAGAGAAGAGAAATAACTCCTGGCAACGTGCTCCTGATGCACTCTTTTTTTGTCCGCTTTTCTTTGTTGGCTCTCCTCCCATCTCCATGCTGCTCAACTGGACTGCGCATTTCACCTCAGTGTTATGGCACAGCCTACCCACCTTTCAGACATTCTCTCTCTCATTATATTTGATTTATTAGCTTCAATTCTGATTATATTGTATTATAGTGTGTTATCTTGCATTCTGATAACATATTTAGTAAATTAGTTTGTTTCTCCTCAGATTGTTGCCACAGGTACCAGAAGACAAGCACGTAGAGAGGCACGCCTCTCTCATTCCTCATCTCTAACACTGCTTGCAGTGCAGCAGTTTTCTTCCCTGCAGATCTTACCACCTGCAGCTACTCCCAAAATACACTGCCTCCATATTTAACCACAGGGACAATCTTTACCATGATACAATTATAACTGAATCAAGTGAGAACAATTGCTCCTGGGCTGCAACACAAACTTCAAATATACCTCGCATGTAGGAAGGCAGTGCACAGGAAGTGTTCACAGAGGAGCTAAATTTTTTCAAAAGTTTCGTACAAAATTATGGCAACATAATGGGATTTTCTACCTTAAAAAAAAAAAAAAAAAAATCAAGTTTCCCATTGCAGCCTATTCTCTTAATTTTTTCAGTTCAAAAAACAAATAATACTTTTTTTTTTTTTTTAAACTTTATCAGGATACATTAAAAAGTTACATCCAGACATTGCATGTCTCTTTTCCATAAGCTCTGCGTTCCACAGCAGCATCTGCCACAACCTACAACTGGAAAACCACATTAAAGCGAGAGATCACACAGCACTGCTGGCCAGGAGCCCCCTCAAAACAGAAAAGTACAGGGGTGCAAGGCATTCCAACTGTTTTTCTGAGGTATCACAGCATCAGTTCCATCCAAAAAGAGATACTATCACAACAAATAACTCTATTTGTTATTAATAACTCTATTTGTATAACTCAAGCCCTATTTCTCAATTTCTCTAGGTGATTTGGCTAGTGTATCAGAATGCCCAGAATTCAAGTAAGCCATGCAGCTCTCCTATCACTGATGACAGCTAAAGGGAATACTTAAGGTTACGCAGGAAGTAAAAGGACTTGCTGGCCTACCTGGGGCAATTTCAAATAGATGTTTTCCGGGCTCGTCAGGATTAAGTGGCAGCTCATTCACCTGATTTCCTTGCAGCAGAATGAGACCCTGTAAGGGACACAAACAAGTGAAATGGGAAGGGCTATAGAAAGGGTAAAGAAAAGACAAATGTAACAGACATTGTAAACTTGAGCTCCACTCTTCTACTAAGCCATTCCCTTTTCCAACCTCATTGCATCTGAGCAAGAAAGACTTTATCTGATCATGCACGTAGCTTACCTGTCCTTTCCGGACACTTCTGGTCAAATGACCTTTCCTCTGGAATAGCAATACTCTGAGCATACACAGGCGATTTCTCTTTCTTAACTAATATTCCTTAGAAAAGTTTCTTCTCATATCACATCTACTCTTCTTTCACCTTTTAATTTTTCAAATTTTTTTTTTTTTCAAATTGAGTTCTAATTAACTAAACAATTGCAGCCCAGCAAGCTATAAGAGGCTTGCACAGGAGAATGTTCATTTGTACTGTCATCTCAACTTGCATGAGTTAACTAATAAAAAAAGTATAAACTGAGATAAATTTCAGTCTTTAGCTGGTATGTCTGCCTCCCTCAAAAAAAACAAACAAACTCATTTGGCCTCAAAGCATTTTTTTTTCAAATTGAAGAGTTCAGAAGCAAGCAAAGCTCCAATGTAGATCCATCTCTGGAAAGTACTTCTAGGTCATAGGTGCATACGTTAAAAAGTTCTTCAGATCAGGTTCTTGCACATCTTGCTACAGATTTCAGGGAATTATGTAGAGCATTTCTCTAGAAGGAGTGGTTGCAGTAGGACAACCTGCTTCTCCAGACGGTAACAGGGAACCAGCTTACAGCTGTCTAATCTGCCTCACACACTACAAAGTACTTTAAACAAATAGAAACAAAAAGATAAAAAATGATTCATTTTCTTAGCAAGAGTGTATCAGTTCTGACAGCTGCAATCACTGGTAGAGTGACATTACTAAATTTAAACACACTGACATGTCCTTGCCCAGTAGCCTCTCAGACTGCATTAACAATCTTTCTTGGAAAATAAATTAATGATGGATTAAATCAGAGTAATTCCTCAAGGTCTAACTTGATATATGCCAAAGCACACCCCAGAAACAAACCTCAGTTCATTACTAAGTTATTTCTCTCTTCCTCAGGCAGTGGCTGCCATCCCTAAGATGACTGGACAGTTCAAGTAGTGTGCAATGGGTTACAGAACTTCCAGTAAGCTGTAGATTCAGATTCGATTTTGAAAAATAATTTTACCCTCTTTCAAGTTTGTTCTTGGAGGAAAAATCTTCAGAGGCTACATAACCAGGTGTTATTGTAGCTCTTATCCCTAGCAAAACCAACTGAGAAGTCCTGTCCCATACCAGGCACTGTAAAGTCAGTGTCTGATAAGAAAAGCAGCGATGTGGGAAACGCTAGTATAAAGCTTCCTTTTCTTCACTGGTCCCTAAAACACAGCTGGTTCCCAAACACCAATAATCTCAATTTTCATAACACTGCCTTTCACACAGCTGCTGTTAAGAATGCTTACAGGATGGGACTAGGGAGTAAAACAGCAAGGCCCAATTCTGCTCCCAGATACACACTTCATGCTAAGGATAACAAACTGGCTACACTAACATCTCATGTTTAACTGAACAAAAATTTCCACAGTAGTTTTATTGACAAATTACGGAATAATCATAGAATGATGGGGGTTAGAAGGAACCCTAAGGACTACCCAGGTGAGCTGCTTTGAAAGTAACACCTGCTATTTGTTTCCATGGAAGCTACAACAGATACAAAGAGCACAATACTATTTGTTACAGCAAGTTCTCAGTTACACAACACTCCTTTTCAACACAGCCATCACCATTAGCTATGTATTTCACCAGTGATGAACAGGAGCTTGCATGCCACACTTGTAAAAATCTGCACCAGCAGATGTGACCCACTGCTTCACAGATGTTAAGACAGCATTATTAATGAAATGCACTGCGCAATGCCTCAGTGTGCTCACATCCACTATTAGGTCTCCATAAATGTTCAGCAAGCATTGCTAAATATGACTGAGTGCAATCTTCTCCACATGGAGGAATTCGATGACACACCTTCACTTCATACACACCTCCATGTCAGACACCATTGTGTCAGACTGTCCCTCTGCTGCCATCTGTCACACAGCAACAACATGTAAGGGAATATCAGCAGGAAGGTTCAACATCTACTGCCATCCTACAAAACCCACTCATGATGTTGCAGGTCAATAGAATAAATTAGGAGGCCCAGGGCTGCAATCCGCCTCACTTTGAACATTTTTAGGAAGGGGCACCTGCAGATTCTTCAGGCAACCTGTTCCAGTACCTCAACAACATCACCTTAAAAAAAAATTTCTCAAGCTCACTGAGCACTTTTGCAGCCCTCCTGGACCTGCTCCAACAGGCTCACATCTTTCCTTTGCTGGGGAACGTTCACTATGGTGCAATTTGGTGGAGAAGAGGAAGAAGGGAGAAGTTAGTGAGAAAGGACAGCCAGCACTTAGAGGTATGCCTATCACATTTCTGCTCAGCTATTCTCTACACTTGTATTTTGTCAGCAGTCACGTTGCAAACCACTTAAAACTTAACTCTGTTGCTTGATACTTTCATAGAATCACAAAGTTGGAAAGGACCTACAAGCTCATCTAGTCCAACCATCCTCCTATCATAATATGAACTGAAACAAGGCTCTCTTGGCCATCTGTCATTCAGAGCATGACCCAGAATTCTAAAACTGCAAACCTCACAGAAAAAACAGGGAAAACTTGTAAAACTTCAGCTTTCTTCTCTAAGATATCTTTGAGGACTGCTCTCCAGTTAACTCCTAGTGTAAAAAACATCTCTGTAACAAAGTTACCACAGATAAACTGGCACATAAAAAGTATATTTGCAAAGGACAATGACTGTTTGAATTCATTAGGCCTCTGATAACAGCAGTGCTACACATCATCCATAGTGATACTGATCTGTTTGCATGATCTTGATCTGTACTTCATCAAACATGAGTCTTGAGGGAAAGACATCTGAGGAGCAGCTGAGGTCTCTGTTTCTGCAGCCTAGACAAGAGACTCAGTGAGACCTCAGGGTAGCCTACAGCTTCCTCTCAAGGTGAGTGGAAGCATAGCACTGAGCTCTGCTCTGTGGGGACAGAGACAGAACCAAGAGAAATGGAGCTGCATCAGTGAAGGGTCAGGCAGTCATTACAAAAAGGTTATTCACCAGAGATAGTCAAGAACTAGAAGGGGCTCCTCATAGCAGTGGTCACAGCTCAAACCCTTCTGGAACTCAAGCACTTGGATAATGCTCTCAGAAATCAGGTTTTATTTTTGGGTGATCCTGTGTGGAGCCATGAATTGGACTCAATTATCTCTGTGGGTGCTTTCCTACTCAGAACATTCGGTGATTATTCAAATCTATGAATACCCAAGAGCACTAAAACCGGCAATTTTCTGCAGCTATATAAGCTTAGGCCTTTTCATAAATTATAAGAGCATGAAATATTAGTAAAGTGTCTTATATATACAAGTACAGCTTTACTTCTTTGTCTTGTAAAGTTCACCCTAGACTGGAGGGAAAACAGGAAGCAACTAGATGGATTTTAAGTATTTTTTGCCAGTAAAAGTTGAGGATATTCTGAGAGGACAGATATTCAGGAACATGCAGACCATAGAAAGAAAGCAGCATTAAAACACCCAGCTACCAGAAAGGATTAACTAACAGCTAGTTAATTTCTATTAACAACTTCAGTGGAAGTTTGTCATTAACCCAGCGTAGCAGATAAAAACATTCACCAAATTTGTGCTATGACAACCCGCCCATGTTATATAACGCAGCCACCATGTTACTCCCACTTCCCCTTTCAGGTGTCCCATTATAAAAATCTTTTACAGGGAGAACACATCATTGCCATCTTTGTTCATTGACTAGATGCAAATTCAATGCTCTAGCAAGACCACCACATAAGCACTGCACAGCAGAGCGCAAGGGCTCAAATCCTGCCCCTAGATTAGGGCAAAATTAAAAGTGGGAAAAGACAGTACAGGAAGGTAATTAAGTTTACACTGAGCTGATTATCTAGAATAATTGCAAACTAAAATGAAAGCCAGCAAAACAAGATAAGCTTTTGGTATACTTTCCACCAAATCACATTGTTCAGTGTCTTTATTTCTGATATTAACTGAATTTAGAAAACATGAAGTCACTCCAAAGAAAATATTGGAAATGCAGAATAAAATGCCAGTGCATCACAAGCTATTCAAAAGGGTGCAGAGAGGTCTTGCATACAACTTCATCTTTGGAACCCAGTGGCCAGAACACACTGAAGAAAGCTGCTTTCTGTCAGGCACAATTCAAGCCCACTGCAGATGCACTGAAGCATTTTATCATATGAACTCAATACTGAGAAAAGATTAATGAATTAGATGCAGAGCAGTTTCTTTTCCCCTGGAAACAGAGGATGGGCATATGCTACCTCCTGCTCTGGGAATAGAAGCAAACTCATAGCTACTTTAAAAACCACATATATTGACAGTTACTAAGAACATAAAAAGCTCTTTGCAGGTCAGTCCTTCCTTTCCACTTTCCTCATGAGGCACCTAAGAAAATATTCCAGAAAGGCAATAGCTCCAAGTTCTCACCCTAGCCTTCAGCACAGAAGTCAGACTGATAGGATGGACTGTGCAACTGCAACTATGTTACACAACACACCAGAACACCCAGGGTCAACTTCACATGCTGTAACTACCGAGTACATCCCCCTCACTCCAGTGAATCCAGGGCACTCACCTGTCAATAGACATAGCACCATATTTTCAGATATTCCTCCCTTGAAAACAATGCTGTAATTTGCTCTACTTATGTGGAAGCACAATTCGCTCATAAAAATGTACAATGAAACACCCATAAAAAAAAAAAAAGCAATATCTTTTAAGGTTTCTCTTGAAGCATTATGGCATAACTTATTTTTTATCTGACTGCCAAATAAAAGAATGCGATCTTACAGAATGCATATAAATAATCAAGTAGGCAGAAGATCAATGGGAATTTCAGT